CCGTAAGGCACAAGGGGATGAGTGAGTTCCGTAAAGACGACCGGTGAGCGTCCCTCTACCACTGTGTGTTCCCGATCGAATCCGACAGGACAACGGACCCAGTGGTTTGAGGCGTTTGACTTCTAACTAACGGGTCGTAAGCCCGAGCCCGGGGCTGGGTATGACTGGCTGATGATGGCTAATAAGCCAGAAATGGCCACTCTAGCCTTCCTTGCCCTTGTCGGTAATAACAGTTCCCCGGTGTCTGTCACTTAAGTCTAGATACTGAGCCTACACTCGAGTGAATCGATGACGTTTGCTTAGTTGTTACTGGCGTGTTTCAAATTTATGATTAGAGCCCACCACCACTATGGCACCGCCCGTCGTCAGACAAACGTGCGTCTAGGCAGCCAGTGCCGTCCATGTCTCATGCCTCGAGTCAATAAATCACAGTGGGCTTGCCGACGGCCTGTTTTTCCAGCATCAATTCAGGGCACGTTTTTAATTGCTCTTGCTGGCCAAGTGGTGCGCAATGAGTCCCTAAACCGGGCTGTTAAGTCCTCTCAGAAGGCTGTCGAGTTCCACTGTGGGTCACGACTCTGTTACAAATGAGAAGGTGGCCCGAATTAGCATGGGCGCCTACGGGATTGCAGGTAGACCTCTTCGTAGAACACTTTGTTTGGGTGTGGGAAGCATGGAAATTAGTTAAGGGAGACACGCGCTGTTCACTCTTTTAAGGGTGGCCCGAAAATCGACGCAGCATTCTTGTCGTTGGGATCTCACGTGAGACGATGAACCACCATGCTGCAGGCCAGCCTCGCTTGCCAAGTCCGCGCGTGATTCAGCAATTAGCACGCCGCCGGACCGTACGCGACCTTCCTGGGCCCGGCAACCCGCGAGGGGTCTGCCGCGATGGCGCTCAATGATCAACCAATAGGAACACGTGAATCGGACAGGAACATGACCTTCAAATAGGACATCTTGGGCGGATAGGTTGAAATGTTGATGCGCGCTGTGATTGGCGTAGTGACCTTGTCCTCCTTCATCCATGTCTGTCTTCTGTTCTACACAGCAACTAACGATATGCCACTGGGGGTTGTAACAGACGAACGAAGGAAATGCTCAGTGAAGGACAGATGCGGAAGTAATTGGGATAACAATAAGCTGGTTTCACTGACTGGAAAGGCTGGAAACAGGCGCACAACGATGAGAAAAGGAAACGGCTGGAGGGCAGCATAACCGAATTTATCTATGACCCCCACGTCATTTGAGGAAATATGCTTCAGAAAATATGAATTATTGTTAGATAGAGAGAGGGGGGGTTGAAGTCTGGTCGGTAAAAAGTGGAAGTCCCATTCCTTAAGGGACGAAGGGAACACGGAATGTATGTCACATTTTTCATGTTGAAGAAAACAGTCGAAATTGCCTTCACGGGAACTGCGAAAACTTGGAAACATTCAAAGTCCTTGTCCAACAGGCACTTTGAATGTTTTCAACTGGAAAAAAAGAACAGATGAAGACTATTTACCCTAGACAGGTGTGTCAGTTCGACCATCACGAACGACAAATCCACCATGCGCCCCACAGCATGGTGAACGCGGGGACGGTGACTTGCGCTTTAAACAGTTCATAGCGGTAGCAGACTTGCGCAGCATCTGCTTCACTCTCGCGGCAGCCCGTCCCAGTGGTCGCCGGCGGTGTCGGTTACCCACGCCACTCTTCATTCTGTCTCGCGCTTCCTGTCAATCGATCGTTTCAGCCGCGCTAGACTTGTCAACAGCGTGGCGAGAGCTCGAGGCCAATCGACACTCCGTTAATCGCTGATTGGCTGCAGGCGGACGGGGCCAGGGCACATGCGCGCCCTGGAGCTAAGAACCTCGGCGACGGACACAGGTCCGAACAGACGGCCTGCTGCAACTGCTTGCTAGGCTACCTGTACACTCTCATTTCGGTGAAGTTGGCCCATCTATCAGTCTTCCCTGACTTGTGATTTGGGAATATTCAAGTCCTCAACCCATTGTATCTCGACAATAAGTGGCCCTCAGGTGACCTGACGCATCCACCTGACTCGGCTGAGCTCAATCATCAAAAGAATCCCGTTCGATTTCATCCTCCGGTTTTTCTCGTGTCTGTCATCGTGCGCACGGATAGGAAAGCAGAGTTACCGTAATCTTGTGGCCAATGAAGGCGATACCAGCAACGTACTCTTTATTCCAAACCCAGTGCGGGAATGGTCTTTCAACCGTGCCAACACTGGATGGTTTCCCCTTTCAGAGGTTCTTGTCCTCATTATTACCGGCATCATACATCATGATCTCCCAGAGCGACGATCCACTTCTGTACCTAACACAGTGAAATCCCACTTCGTCCGACACGCTCTGCAATCTATCCCACTTCCGAGCCCAGACGGCAGTGAAACCCTCCACTTACGGATTCGTCTGGCTCGGCATTCACTGTTGGACGCACGCTCGCCTCTTACACCAACGTGCCAGCCCACCGGCACACGTTGCCTCGACTGCATCTCTGCGCAGGTCGCAGCATGAATCTTGCCTCCGGCCCGAGCAACTCCTGCCACCATCGATACGCGCTCGAACCTGCATGTGCGCTGGATTCAACCATTCATTTCACTGACCCCTCACTTTGTTCGGTGTTTTGGGGGCGTTGTAGTTCCTCAAACGCGTGTAAACCTTTCGCCACCGGCACTCACGTGCGCCGCTAGGGATCATGTGATCATGATGCCTGAGCTGCCAGAACATGCTCACGAACAGCCGGGACAGCCAATTGCAGGCGCCCACAAAATCTTCTATCACCCAACCAACTGATCAAGCTGACTGACTGACACTCACGTGACGCTTATTCATTCACACCCGCATAACCCTATCAGGCAGAAGCGCGCGTCGGGGCTCTGTCCACTGAGTTCCTGTACAGAATACACGACTTCTGTTGGGCCTTTCCTCCTCTCCAAAAGAGAATTGGACAGTGATTTTTGTGGCGCTCTGAGAATATTTGTTACTTAAACGCGGTACTTTCTCCTCCCCTCTGGACTTGAAGGCTACAGTAAGTCAGGTTGACCGGAGTCAGAATCCGTCGCAGTGGTTGAAAAAGCCAAGTTGTCCGTCTACGCGTGCCGCACACAACCTGGTTACCTAAACAACGCCGGGTTTTCACGAAAAGTGGGCGAGCGGCTCAGACATCACATGCATGAGGATGCTTTAGAGACCACATTAAGAAGGAGCCATTGGGCCTGACTCTCAGCCCACCAGTCGGTCACTCCACACACACACACACGTAGGGCTGACTGTGAGATCTAAATTGTGTCGTCAGTTGTCAACCTCCCAAGCCATGACGTTTGGTGCGTTGTGGTAGATTCAAGCACGTCAAACTCATTAGCCAGGACTGCGCTGAAGTACCACGGGAATGGGGTCACCACAGTCGGCCTCACTCTCCCCTCTTCCATGGATCAACTCGAGCTATCTAGTCGACTGGTGCTGAGAGTGGCTGACAGAGTTCCGAGGGCCCGTAAACTTGTACCACACACGATGCGATTAGACATGAGGTTGTGCTGCGAACACGCTTGCCATATACACCAGAGGTGCCTGTTTTGCTTCTGTGGTGGATGATATGAGACGAGTTTCTATATGGTATACATGTTGATGGGAAGAGGTGTGGTGATGGGGTTCAGTCTGTCGTGTTTTACCGCAGGTTTTCGTGGAGACGCATATGGTCGAGTAGGTCCATACGGTGACTTAATGTGCGCGAGCATTTGAGACGCTGCAGCGGATTTACGTCGGAGCTCCAGGCACTAGTTCACTGGTGTTTGTGCGAGGGATCCACAAACCGACCAGGCCCATATGCGATGTGGAGATGAGCTCGCAGTGGGGACAGGTTGGCACTGCTGGTGGTGGAAACGATTGTGGAGCCGGTGAGTGGCCGGGCACCGGCAGTGTTATTACCAATGGTGGTGGTCGTCGTCGTTGGAGCGGGAGTTTGGATTGTTGATGGAGGTGGTGGTGAGCGGCGGCGGCGGCGGCGATGGCGACGATGACGACGACGGTGGTGGTCGTCGTGGGCCTCGCGAGGGTTGCCACACGGATGAGGTTGGAGGCATTAGGTGGAGTTGTCGTCTTTTATTGCATTGGGTCCAAAGATGTTCGCCGATGCCGATCCGTTTGCTGAAAGTTAGTTTGCAGCGTAGACACGATTGAGGGGGGTGGTGGTTGGCTGTTTGGGCTGTGGGCCTGTGGAGCTTAAAAATTGCGAGTTGATCTGTTGACTTTGGCCAGCGGCGATCCGGTTTGCTTTATATATGGCTGCTCCAGTCTTCACTGTGGTTCTGCATCTTAGATCGGGGAATTCAGCTTCCTGAAAAAGTTGACGTAGACGGTCCATGTCCCCGCCCTGTAGAGAAGGACTACTACCAGTAATCTTTAATTTCGTCTTCAGGCGACTGAGGCCTGTAGTCGACCGGAGACCTGACGGGTTTTGGAGATCTGCTTCGCTACCTCGTCGTTGATCGTGATGCTTTTGTGATGTTACTGCCTAGATAGGCGAAGTTGTTCACTGGTACAAGTAGAGTTCCATTCATGTTGATCTTATGAGTAGTGTATTTGTCCGCTGCTGGTTTTTGGTGCATGACCACCGTTTTCTCTGTGTTTATGGTCAATCCGGAGTTGGCGCACATGGAGGCGAAGAGGCCCGTGTCTCTGTATTTCTGCTGTTTTCATGGCATTGAGCGCACAGTCATCCTCAAAGAGGAGATAATGAACAGTGGGTGTTGACATTTCTGTGGACGCTGGCATTCTTCGGACGGTGGGGAGTCTGCCGACGGTCCTATGGAAGATGTTAATCCCAGGCTGTACCCACGACAGACGTCCACCTGCATGACGGAGAAGATTAGGTTTAAGAAGGTGTGAGTCAGTACAAATCCCTACTTCATTTAATTAATCATTACGAATGCTACAGTCGTGTCGTGGAGTTGGTGTACCATGTGTGTGAAGCATTTCGGACATCCGAACTTCAGCATGATCCTCCAAAATCCGTTGCAGTCCATGGTGTCGGAGGCCTTTGTCAGATCCACGAACGCTTGTGGGCATTTTGCACCACCTCTTCTGCAGTTGCCGGACTACAAGGGTCATGTCGACGGTGCCGCGGCTTATTTGACATCAACACTGGATTTCCGCGAGGAGCCAGTGTCCCAGGTAGCTGCTGAGACGGCTGAGGAGGATGCGGACGAAGATCTTCTCCGCCTTGTTGAGCGGTGAAATGCGTCCGTGAACCATCGGTGGGGTGAAGGACCCCATTTCACTGACGGTAGTGAGTAAATCATGTCGCACGGAATAATGGTAATGGGGGTTTTACGGGTGGGGCAGCACACCAGGCAGTAAGCTGGCGAAATGCAAGAAAATACAGAAAGTATTAGGATTTCTGCCAAAAGTCTTATGGTACGCTTTCGGTTGGCAACGGAACTGAGTGCGTTAATTAAAAAATAAACGGTCTGATATGGTTATGTAGCCCCACCTGAAGTAAAAAACCTCAGTCACCTGTAATAAGGGACCGGTGGTAATAGGCGTTTTTACAGGTTAGACCGGCAAACGCACAGGCGACGGGGTCAAGCAGTTGTATGCAGAAGAACTGCTATTGGTAATGTGCGGTTGTACTTTAAGTTGTTGAGAAATAGTTGCCGTAGTCCTAAGCCTAATCTCTAACCCCTAACTTTAACCCCTAACCTCAACCCTAACATTATTTTGTTCATCCGACGGGGCTACGTAACCACATCTTACCAAATAGACGCAAAGTGACTATCGAAAAATAACAGGGCTTAAGTAAGGGTTCGAGGCCATGGGAAGTAATTGTCGTTGGCAATGTAGTGGGCGTAACAGCCTGCAAATGGATGCCAAGATAAAACCCCCATATGGCGCGATCCACAGTCTATCGACAGCTAAGTTGGGTCCTTCACCCCACCGTCGCCGTCCGTGGTTATCACAGCGTTTGCAGTTGCGTCTACCCGTGTGTTCGTGCACAATGGTGACGTCTCTGATGTCAAGAGGGACTTGTTCTTGCCGACACGTCCCATAAACATAATTATGAACATTTACACCAGTCGAGGGACCCAATGCTTGTAGAATTGACCAGGAATTCGCCGGATCCCGGTGCTTTTTCGCTGAGGAGCTGGTGTACGGCCTGAGTATTTTTTTGGGTGGGGGGGAAGGGGGAAGGAGAGAGGTTCAGGTCGTTTTTCGTTCCCACCTGTAGGAGGCTGTGGATGGTGTCGTCGGATGTTGTGGATGGGCGATTGATTACTCTTCTAAATTGCTCGACACAGAGCTTAGAATTTGTGATTTCCCTTTTAGAAGCGCCTGTCCGTTGGAGCTGATTAACGTCGGAGTTCCTCTGGCATAGGGGACCGTAGACTGCCCTGATTGAAGCGAAAAAAAGTTATTCATATCATTGCGATATACGTGGCCTTGTATTTCTAGAGCTTTTATATCCATTCGAGTGTTTCGCATTTCGCACAGTCGTTGCACCAGACGTCGACGGCGGGAGAAAGTTGTTTTATATGCGTGGGAACAGCGGTTGATGGAGGATCAGTACAGCCTATTCTTCTCAGCGGGCAGGCCGTGGATTTCTTCGTCGTTGTCGTCAAACCGATCCGCATGTTGACAGCATGCGTGACTAAGAACATCCACGGTAGTATAATGGATTGCGTCCCCAGTTGACACCGTTGTGACTCCACCATGGCGTTGTGTTCCGGAGTCTGCATCTCTACAAGACGGTGAGTCAGTTGATTTTTGAAATCTGGGCCGTGATTAAAGTCACTCAGAAGGACACTGTCTAACTTACTCGGCTGTCGCTTACTTTGTGGTCTCCTAAGAGGCTGTAGTCGGTGCCTCATCTTAGAGATGACGAGACGGTGGTCCGTTCAGCAGTCGGCATCGCAGATCGCTTTTATCACCAACAGCTGCCGGTTGCGCGGGCGGATGTACATTCACATTGTCTTTTCCCTCATCGAAAAGCGGAAAAATGTACTGGTCAAGAGCATGTGGTGCTCTTCACAGGCTCACAGAAGGAGGGGGCCATTGTCGTCGCCTTCGTCGGTTCCATGGGGATTCAGCACTTCCCCCAGTCAACGTGGTCTGTCCCGACGCCGACATTGAAGTCACCAAGAAAATTAAGTTTGTCCGCCTATGACACAGTCGCCAGGTGGACGTGTAAGGCTTCGCAGGACTTGATCCTCACGTCATCGGAGTTCGTCATAGGTGGGAGCACAGGCGTTGACGGCGGCGGCGAATCGGGCAGCCCGAAGAAACAGGCGAGGGTCATGAGACGATCGCTGATGCTCTGAGGAAGACAGGGCAGTCGCCCCACGGTGTCGTTGCGGATCACAAAGGCGACGCCAGCGTCGCGTCGCTCTGCCTTTGGGCGGCCGCTCCAGAAGGTATGGCCGACACCCACCTCCTGTTGACCTCCTTCCGAGAATAAGGCCTCGCTGAGGGCAGTGATGCCACCTTGCACCGTTCCAGCCCTCAAGCGACCAGATCTGTTCGCTTTTCCTGCCGGTAGCTCAGCAGACTGTCTGAAAGAGAACGGTTGTTTCAGACTGCCAGAGTGAACGGCCACTTTAACAGCCTGTTGGACGCGCCAGAGGGCGTGGAAACAAGCGTTATTGTCTACTCGACTGCTTCGAATGCGCGTCTATCAGCTTGAAAATGGCGTGATTTCCTAGTATTCGCCTACAGAGCATTCTCTGTCCCTTTCCCGCGTGAGAGTAAGCAGTGCTGTCCCTAAATTCGGATATTACAGATACCTGTCGTAATCCCCCGTGGGTCACGACTTTGTTTAGTGGAAGAGTGATTCGAGTTTGCCTGGGCTGCCTACGCGACTTCATGTTGTAGCGACAGAGTACGGGGGGAGGGGGGGGACTCTGGAAGGCTCGTGATGGCCTGACGCTGAACACTACGGCTTGGGATCTTTCGGATGGGAAGCCAGGGAAAACTCCTCTAAAAGTTGGGTTACCCCGTCATACACGCTGGCAAAGGATAGAAGCGGCGTAGACATAATAGCAATGGTTGAACTGGACGTAAAGGTTTCTTAACGAAATGTTATCGGGACCGGTAGAAAAATAGATTTAGGATAGACTACTCTAAAGATAGAAACAGTATGTACAGGGCAATAAACAAATGCGCGAATGCGACTTAGTTTGGTAAACCGATAAACGAGAATAGCGGAGAAGGGTGATTAGTTACGAAATAAACGATACGTATAACGAATGATCAGTTCAGGGGTATGTAAACAGTAAGGAATAGGGACTTAGCGGCGAGTTTGTCGATAGGCGGCGGCTCGTGTCCACGTGACCCAAATTCTGAAAAGGGAGGGCAGGAAGCAAAAAGGTCCGTTTAAACAATCGGTCGTTACAATGTCACCTTCTCCGTAGTGAGGGTGAAGTTGAAGGGGGGAAGTGAGAATGGGAGTGAAGGGAAAGGAAGAAAGGGTGGAGGGAGGGATGGGAATGGAAACAGAATTCAGAAAAGTATTTGGCGAGCATGCGCGTGCTTTCGATAAATTCTCATCGGGCCTGTACATTCATATGGGAACGAGGCACAAGCTGAAATGTCTGAACGATAAGAGCACTCGTCTTAGGTTCGTAT